AACTAAATTATTGTATGTAAAATAAGGTTTTTAAAATTTTTAAGAAGCTTCATTTAAAATTAAATTAAAATGCAGAGCCCCCCAGACCGGTGGCCAGGACCCGGGCAGTGTGAGTGCCACTGAAAATCAGCTCACGTGCCACCTTTGGCACACGTGCCATAGGCTGCCTACCCCTGATGTATGAAGTGCATGGCATGAATATTGTATGTATAAGTGTTGGCTATTTATGCTAACTGACTTGTGTTGTTTTTCCCCAGGGCTTTGGGCCGGAGCCCGGAGCCGCAGGTTTTTGCCTGGAACTGGAGCGGAACCTGAGCACAGCTCCAAGGCCCTGTAATTTTCCCCACAATGCTGTTCCTTCTTGTTCACTGGTATAATACCTTTGAACAGAACAACTCAACATTTAGCCTAAGTGGATAGGAACACTGTCAAAGGCAAAATCCATTAATATTCTGCCCTGGTATAAGCTGGGCAGCTAACTTCATGGATCAATAGCTGGAACGTTAATATCCAAAACAAAGATAAAATAAAGGTACAGAACAACAAATTCAGGAACTAGTACAAATTGGTGGGTTGGATCTTAGGTGTCGTATAAAATGCTTTGTAACTTGTCAGCAGCTGTTCTATATGTAGAAATGGTTTTGGGGGTGTATCCCTGACGTAAGGTGAACATGCTGCAAGACAAGAACTGCTTCCCAAAAGGAGGGAAATGTTTACTTTTTGTACTGTAATGCTTTGTCTGTAGACAATAAATTTGGTTAAGTTTGTTATTTGGGCTCTTGAACATTTTTAAGAACAATCAGCAAGTATAGTAAAACATTTGGCTACACTTTTAATGAACAGACTAAGGCTGCTATCAAATCAGCCAGGGGGGTTTATGAAATGCTTCCCCACAGGAAAAAAAAAAAAAAAAAAAAATAACACACACCTTTCAAGCCACTTCTACTCAAGCAACATGAATAAGTAGTCTTTAATTCATTGTTACAAATAACTTCTACAGAGGAAAGCACTAATGGAGAGCGTAGGTGCTAGAGACTAGTGAGACCCCGATACCAAGAAGATGCGGTGAGAGTCATGTGTTACACGACAGGGACAAACCAGCCCAGCTTCTGTCAGGGCAAGTCATGAAGCGAGGCACACTCAAGGCTCAGAACCCTAGCCTGCCATAGACAGCAAATGGAGGCGAATCTCAACACACACTTTGGAGTTAGTTTCCCAGACCTGAACAAGGGCTGTGTGTAGCCTGAAAGCTTGTGTCTCTCACCAACAGAAGTTGATCCAATACAAGATATTGCCTCACCCACCTTGTCTCTCTGACTTTGGATAGAGATACTCAGCAGAGTGGACTGGCAACCCCCACTCCTGCTCTCTAGAAGCGGGCTCAAAAGGGGGCACCCCAGTGCTATGGGGCACACTAGTTACATTTCCCCCTCCTGAGCTGCTGCTGGCAGTTACTGAAAGGATGAAGTGTAGAAGTCATAATGACAGGAACTTTGCCCCACCTTGCCCCCACAGTGGGAGGGAGATCTCTCCTTCTCTGAGTGCATGCACCATCCCCTACTATGTACCTGGCATGAGGCGCTCCCGGGTGTACCACAGGGCAAAGCCATCCCCGTGCAGGTTCTTCTTGCCTGCTCCATGGATCTTGAAGTGGACATGGAGCTCCCAGTCCTTGAGGAAACAGGGCTGAGAGAGAGGGAGTCACACTCAGTACCATGGACAGCATTCCATGGACACCTCCCCCACCCATGGGGACTCCCACAGACAGAACTTCTTAGCCACTGCACCCTCTCTCTTTCCTCTCAGGGACAACAGCTATAGCCCCCACAGAAGCTGCAGTATTCACCCTCATTCAGGGCTTCAGAACCAGGGCTTGGAACTCCAGCTCCCGAGCAAACCGAATGGGATCTCCTCCATCACAAGGCGGCACTCACCACGCGGTTCCAGATGGAGCCCTCTTTGCTGCGCTCATCAGGAGTCAGGCGGACATACTGGCTGGTGAGCATCGTGCTCCCCTGGAAGTCCCAGAGCGGCATCGAAGTGGAACCAACCCCTAGAGCAGAGAGAAGGGGCACAGCTGAGATCACAAGCCAAGCGGACGGGAAGGGCTGCGAGGGCTCTGGGAGCTGCAGAGAATGACCATGCTGGGGGCAGGCTGAGCCGGACAGGCCTGGGGGGACCCATTGGGAACGTGGGGCCAGCGAGGGGGAGAAGCGGCCAGACCGTGGCAGGGCCCGTCTCGGAGGGGTGTCCCCAGCCCCGCTCGCCCCCTCACCCTGGTAGGGCTTGGTCAGCGAGTGCTCCCGCTTCAGGTGCTCGTTGTTCCCGTCGGTGAGCTCGGCGGCCCCGCGCCGCAGCCCGGACGCCAGCAGCAGCAGCGCCCCGGACAAGAGGCCACGCACGGGGCAGCCCCGACCCCACCGCCCGCGGCGCGCACAGCCGCCTCCTCCCGGACCCGCCGCCATCCCGCTCCCACTGCTTCCGACCGGAACCGGAACCAGAACACACCAGCCTCCCCGGAAACTCCTGCCTAGGGCCGCGCCAGCCCTCCAATTAGAACCCGGCCTGAGGGGGCTTCCGGAGGAGGCCCCGCCCCCACACAGAGCAGCTAGTGCGAGCGCTACACGTCATTCCTCGTATCCATGGCAGCCGAGAGGCGGGGCTAACGGAGCTCATACCGCTCCCAGCATGCAATGGGGTGGTGGGGCGTGAATAGCTTCTCCTCGCATGCCCTAGCCCGGAGGACTACGACTCCCAGCATGCACTTGGGCTAGGTCTGTCGGACCGCAGCACAGATTCCGAAGGGACCTCAGGAGGTTCTAGTCCCACCCCCTGCTCAGAGCAGGACCAACCCCAACTAAATCCCCAGATCCCTAAATGGCCCCCTCAAGGATTGAACTCACAACCCTGGGTTTAGCAGGCCAGTGCTCAAACCACTGAGCTATCCCTCCCTCCTTGTCACTCTGCAACCAGCCATTGACATCGCGCCGCCCCCACGGACCCTCAGGCATGCGCCATCCCGCTCCCAGGAACCCCAAGCCTTGTGGCCACGACCCCCGCGCCCCCCTCCGCGCACCAATAACTCAGCCAAAGCAGCAGCCAGAGCCCAGCCAGCTTTATTGGAGATGCCAGACCCAGCCTGGGTCCTGAGCAGGCTGGATCACTGGGGCCTGCCCTATTACTGCTTTTCTGCCAAATGTCCCTGCTCAGATACAGGCAGTGTCTCTGCTCAGCTCCTGGGATGGGGCCAGGGTTGGAGACAGGGACGTGCAAAAGGGCAGGAGGAACCCGCCCGCCCCCCATTAGGCTTGGGGGATTGTCACAGCTGTGGGCAGATTTGGGTGCGTCAGCATGCCTGTGTCTCTGGTGGTTATGAGATTCTCACAGCAGCACTGCTGGGCTGGCATCGTACAACACTGTCAGGGGCATTCCTGCATGGTCACTCTGTGCATGCCAGCTACAGGCTTCACTGACCCTATGGAGTGAAGCAACAACTTCAAAAGCTGAACATACACATCTCTGCAACTTGAACTAAAGAGTCTGGGGCTGGGGAATGTATCAGACTAACATCCTCTAGCTACGGTGGGGAACATGTAACACGCTCACCAGTGGATTCCATGTACAATGCACATGGGTGTAGGCTGCAGGGTCAGCATGCTCATGCACAGCGGGTGTAGTGTCAATGTGCAGGCCCAGTGGGTACAGCATGTGACAGTTCAGTTTCAGGCTGCCGTTTGGGGCTCGATTTTCAAAAGCACAGCTCCTTGGGCTGCTCTGAAATTACCAGTTTTGCAATAACTACTCTCAAGCAGCGTTAACGTGCGGATCAGACGCTTAGGGGACTGGCTTGCAGTGGTGCTGCGGGGATACGGATAAAGAATGTAGCCTGTGGGTTAAGATACTGCAGTAGTGTGCCGTCTATGTGCTGACTCTGACTTCCTGACTGTCTGTGCGCATGGGATGATTCCGGCCGCCCCAGAAACGCATGGAGGATGGCATCTTGTTCTACAAAATGACATCCTCTGCCCTGTGTGACTTTGCATGCACCGTATGTGCAAGGTTGCGCTGTGCATGCATGCGTAAAATTGCAGCCTTCCTAACAATTGCACAGCACACCACTGAGAGCCTGGCTGGATTTTAGGTCTAGATCAGCGGTTCTCAAACTTCATTGCACCGCAACCCCCTTCTGACAACAAAAATTACTACATGAACCCAAGAGGGGGGACTGAAGCTTCAGCCCACCCAAGCTCCACTGCCCTAGGTGGGGGGGCCAAAGCCAAGGGACATCAACCCTGGGCAGGGGGGCCTGTAACATGAGCCCTGCCGCCCAGGGATGAAGCTGAAGCCTGAGACCCATGGGCTTCAGCTTTGGCCCGAGGCGGTGGTACTCAGGCTTTGGCTTTGGCCCCAGCAAGCCTAATGCCAGCCCTGGCGACCCCATGAACAGGGTCGCGACCCGCTTTGGGGTCCTGACCCACAATTTGAGAACTGCTGGTCTAGAGCAGTGGTTTTCAAACTTTTTTTCTGGAGACCCAGTTGAAGAAAATTGTTGATGCCGGCGACTCAACGGAGCTGGGGATGAGGGATTTAGGGTGTGGGAGGGGCTCAGGGCTGGGGCCAAGGGTTGGGGTGCAGGCTCTGGGGTGGGGCTGGGGATGAGGGGTTCGGGGTGCAGAAGGGGGTTCTGGGTTGGGGGGGGCTCAGGGCTGGGCAGGGGATTGGGGCACAGGGTTGGGGCACAGGCTTACCTCCGGCGGCTTCCATTCAGTGGCACAGCGGGGGTGCAGAGGCAGGCTTCCCACCTGAAGCGGCCAGCAGCAGGTCTGGCTCCTAGGTGGAGGCGCGCAAGCAGTTCCGCGTGGCTCTCACCTGCAGGCACTGCCCACCCCGGGAACTGGCCAATGGGAGTACAGAACCGCTGCTCAGGGCTGGGGCAGCGCGTGGAGCTCCATGGCCCCCCGCCTAGAAGCCGGACCTGCTGCTGGCCGCTTCCGGGGCGCAGTGTGGTGTCGGAACAGGTAGGCACTAGTGTGCCTTGGCTGGGCAGCACCGCCGACAGGACTTTTAACGAAGCAGTCGGCAGTGCTGACCAGAGCAACCCAGTACTGGGTCGCGACCCGAATTTTGAAAAAGGCTGGTCTAGAGGCTTGCTCCTGGCTCCACTGGAGCCCTTGATGCTGCCCTCCCTCCACAATTCAGGAACTGCAGATACACCAGTGACCAAATGAAACCCATGAGGGTGAGGAATTCCAGAGAAGCTGATGAGCAAGGAGAGCTTGGCCGACAAAGGCCCTTTGAGCTCAGCAGCCTGTGCCCGGGGGTCCAGGGAGGGCCTACTGCTGGGAATCTCTGGGAGCGGGTGAGCTGGCTGTGCGAACTGCAGCTCCATTCAGTCACTTCTTCCGGCTTGTGATCTGGCTGCAAATCCAGTTCATCCCATCCTATTAAAAACAAGAAACCAGTGTGAGCACTGGCCCTTCCCAGCGTCCCCTGGCTTGATTCCTTGTGGGGGTCTCTTTGCCAGATCACTGGCCCCTGGGCTTCTTCGCTGACCTCCCCAACCTCTGCTCCTCCGGGCTTCACCCCCATACCTGGACTCCTTCTCCAGACAGGGCTGAGCAGGCCTGGATTTGCCATTGGCGGTCCCGGTACGTAGGTAGCTTCAGTCCCTCTGCGATCTCTGCAGCTGGTGCTGCACTTGCCAGATCCTGCTTGTTGGCAAACACCAGCAAAGGGACACCGGTGAGACTCTCATCCTCGATCAGCTCCGCCAGCTCCTGCCGAGAGACAGAGCAAGCAGTAGGCCTTGAGCGCAGACAGCTGCAGGGCTCCGCTGCCAGGGCATCGTTCCAGGAGCTTGCACCCGCCTTGTCACGCGAGTGGGATCTGGATGATGGGTTGGGGGACATCCCTCACCAAGTGTCACTGAGCTGGCAATTCTCTGCAAGGGTCCCTGGGACACTGCCAACCCAGCAGGGGGTCAGAGGCCAAACCCCAGAAGGCAGGGAGTTTCACCCTCCCTGAGGCTGTCTGGAATTGGCACAGCCCTTCCTGGCATCAGTCCCCTTCCAAAGGGAAAGCCCAGCATGTGTAACCAGTGGGTAGCCTTGACCCCAGCCTCTGACTATGGCCTGGGATGTGGGTTAATCTCCTGGCTCCGCCCTGGACTCTGTGACCTCAGGTGTGTTCTGCTCTGGGCCTCAGGTCCCATCAGTGTCATGGGGCTCACGAGCTGGGGAGGAAACGTTCCTCACCATGAACCCCTTTGCTGCCTGCCGTGCTGTAGCGGGGTAAACACCTGCTCCAGCCCTGAAGGGGTGGGAAAAGCCCTGCCGAGGGCTGGGGCTGGGACTGTGGAAAGGGGCAAACCCCGGCTGATTGGGGGAAGTGGCTGCAGCTGGGGCCACGCCCCAAACGGAGCCACTCAGCCTTATAAGAAGGCCAGGGCAGCTAGAAGATGAGGAGTCTCCCTCTGACAGGCGAGAGTGACAGGCCTGGCTGTAGGGAGCTCACTGGGGACCTAGAGTGAGTCAGGGATGGGGAAAGGCCTTGGGGGCAGGGAAGCCCTAGGCCAGCAACTCCCCAGGCTGCAGGGCCTGGTCCTAGGCCCATGTAGGTATTGGGGTTGCAGAGGGGCAGCTGGGGTGGGTGAAGGCAGTCAGTCTAGACCCCTTGTTGCCTGTGATGATTGGCTGATAGATGGCAGTCTGCCCCAGGGCGTGGGGGCTAGATGGTGACTGGCAGTAACCATGACTGAGGTGATGTGGGGGTTCCCTGGGGAGGGGGGAAGACTGAGAGAGAGTAGGGTACTGCTAGGGGGGCAGCACCCAAGCCAAGGGCACTGGGGTCCAGGAGGGCCAATGACAGATGGGACACCTGGCCTGCAGAGGGCCCTCTGATGACTGGTGAGCTAATTCCCAAGATGACCAGCAGGAGGCGCCGCAGGGGTGAGTCTGTGCCTGATTACACGTGCCTTCCTTCAGTTCAGGATACAACCGGCTGCTGGGGAACTACATTTCTCACCAATCCCTTGATGGGGGAGGTTCATCAGGGGCTGGGGTGTCAAGCCCAGCTTACTCACAGAATTGGGTAGTTAACAACCCTGGTTCTCGCTGCATCCCATAGATATTGCCCCCCCCCCCCCAAAAAAAAGTCTGGAATGGCCAGTAGACACTGTTATACTGGGAAAAGTAGCTGCTCCAGCAGCACAGCCAAGACTTGGTCCCAAAGACCCCCAGAAGCATGCACATCTGTGACCTGTCCCAGCACATGTAATGTCGAGAGCAATCTGCCCACAAGCCAGTGTATTTCCAGGGGGGCCGCATCATACCTGCCCGGTCTCCTCAAAGCGTTTCTTGTCAGCGCTGTCAATGACATAAATCTGCCACAGGAACAAAAGGGGAAGTCACCCATTCACTTCTTGCTCCCCATGGCACCCTGCCAGTCCCACCTTTATAGGCACCCTGCCCCCCAGGCACCCCTGGGTGGGCACCCACCAGGTCTCCCTTTGCAGGTAGGACAAAGGCTCCTGCTGTGGAACCCCAGTATTGGACCCCAGCCGGTCCAGCTTCCAACACTGCCTCCTCCCTGCCCACCTGGGGGCTGGCCCCATGCTCACCAGCGTGTCTGTGTTGCCCAGGTACTTCTTCCAGTAGGGGCGGATGGCACGCTGCCCACCGATGTCCCAGACATTCAGCTTGAAGCCGTGTGAGTGCACACTTTTTATGTTGAACCCCTGCACAGGGAAGCAAACCGGGCTGTAAGTCCAGGCAGGGGAGGAGAGCCCACCTCACCCACTATGCGCTGGATCCGGGGTTCTGCACCTACCTGCGTGGGGGTGATGGTGCTGACCTCCTCCGATGCCAGGCACTTCAGCAGCGTGGTTTTTCCGGCATTGTCCAGCCCCAGCAGGACGATCCGCAGTTCCTGCTCCACGGAGCCCTTGAGCTTTTGGATGACAGCGAGCAACCCCTGCAAGGACAAGGGGATCCTGAGTGGCCGGGGCTGCATCCCGGAGCCCCCCAGGCATGCCTGGGGGGCTGCAGAATCCCTGGCTGGGTGGGTTTGAGCTGGTTCCGAAGACTTGCTGGGGGTGCAGTCAGGGAGTTGAGTGATACAACCAAGAGCCATTGTTTCTGGGATTTATCACATGTGATGCCACAGAACCTGCCTGAAGAGTGAAACTGAACATTTATGACAATACAGTTGGACTTGAAAATTGACTGAAGAGCTGACATCAGCCATCTCAGAAGTAATTTACGATCACCTTCAACCCCTCCCAGAGCTGAAGTCCCCCAACCCACTCTGACTAGCCCTGGAGGTACTCTGAGCTGCATGGGCCAGTTCACCACAGAAACAGCTGAGCACTCAGCGTGTATGTGATGAAAGGACCACAGACCAACAGCCTCCTCAGACCCAGCATGACAGCCATGATGGGCCTAGTGAGGAAGGTGGAAGAACTCGATGGAATATTTCATGAGATTGGATTTCTGACAGGAGGTCCAGTACAGATAGTCCTAAAACACACTGCTGCACCATAGAGCATACATACCCCGCGCCGGACTCCTACCCACTTACTTCATAGAGTGGAAACGGAGTTAAACAGAATTAAATGGATTGGCATAACCGAGAAAAATCTCCGAGCTGACAGCACGGTGTGCCCCAATGGTACCAGCTATAAAGAAAAATAGGAAAATATGAATCTGTGTGGATCTTAAGACTCAGTGAAGCCATTGCAAGAGAAAAAAATATGTTCTCCCAGCACTGGCTGACTTCCTCCCCAAAGTGAAAGGAAGTACAGGATTCTCCAAGCTGGATGCCTCAAGGAGACTCTGGCAAATTCCGGTAGCCAAAGATAGTGTTAAACTGACTACATTTATCACACCCTTTGGTAGACTTTACTTTCAAAGATTACCTTTGGAATTACCAGTGTGCTTGAAATTTTCCAAAGAAAGATGGCAGAACTGTTAACGAACACAAATGGAGTTGTCATTTGCATGGACTAAAATAAATATATAATGCATGCCTCTTTGAGGGAAGAACACACCAAAACTCTCAACGAGGTCCCAAGGCTAATCATTTAGTCTGGACTAAAGCTAAACGAGGAGAAGTTTGTTTTCTGCCTACCCCAAACTGAGACAATAAACAAAGATGGAATCAGTCCTAGACCTGAGAGAGAAGTAATTTAAGAATTGAATGTACCAGAACTGAGACGCCTACTGGTGATGGTGAATTACCTTGGTTGGTACCCACATGACCTTTCTGCAGTGACAAAACCACTGAATAAACTATTGAAGTCCAACACACCTTGACTATGGGGCCAAATCAAGAAATTGTCTTCAAAAAGATAAAAGAAATGACCTCAATAGCTCTACCTCTCAAGTTCTATGTGAATAAACCCACAATGGGGGTCAGTGGAGACACAAGCAGCTCTGGCCTAGGTGGTGAATTGTTGCAACAACATGGCTCTGAGTAGAAGCCAGCTGCATTTTGCTCTTGCACATACACAAAGTGGAAAAACGATCTGCACAGATTGCCAGCCTCCTTTTCAAGCTTAGGGGCACGTAAGAACTTTACAGAGATCTGTGTGGATTGGATTCACTTACACTGATAACAGACCATAAACCACTTGTAACTCTCTGTGATGGGGCGACTGCCCCACATTGGCCCATAAGGGGTTAATAGAGCCTTAGGGAGTCTATGCAGGAGGCAGCCAATTAGAGAGGGGCTGTGAGGAGCAGCCAATCAGGGCCTGGCAGGCCATATAAGAACAGCTGCAGGGCAGAGCAGCTTCCGTAGCTGCCTGGAGCTTGAGGAGGGAAGGTCAGGCCAGGCTCCTAGCAGAGGAAGGAGCGCCAGCACCCTGGACAGAGCAGTGCTACTAGCAGTGACCAGGGAGAGCTAAAGATGGCTCTGGGTTGGGCAACCCTGAGGGAAGGGCAAAGAGGGTGCTGGGGGCTGTGGGGAAATGGCCCAGGGAAAGGTACTGAGAGGTTGGAGGGGACGTAGCACGTAGCTGCCATCTAGAGGGTTCCTGGGCTGAGACTCGGAGTAGTGGGTGGGCCCGGGTCCCCCCAACTGCAGATTGCCACTGAGGAAGTGGCCAGACAATTGGCTGCAGTAGCCACTGAGGGAACTGGCTGGACTTCAGCAGTTCCCCCGGAAGGGGGGAGAACAGAGCGTGACACGGCCAGAGAGCTGTGTCATGAAGAGGATGCCATGCTCCTGGGAGTGATGTGGGTCCTGAAGCAGAAGTGACAGCAGCGAGACACCACCAGAAGAGGACGCACCGGCTAGCAGAGCTAATCCCCGGGAGAGCCAGCAGGAGGCGCCGCAGTGGTGAGTGAACTCTGCCTCACCCTCATCAATGGAAAAGACCTGGATCAAGCACTGCTGAGATGCCAACGTCTCTTGCTAAGGTTAATACGATGTAACCCAATTGTTCCTGGGAAAAATCGGTTAGTTGCAGACACTCTGACAGAGCCAGCATTGCACTCCCTACCCGAGCTTACAGATCCTGTAAAGGCATATGTGGATGCTGTGTGCACATCTAGACCAGCATCAGAAAAGAGGCTACACCTGCTACAAAAAAGCAACCTCAGCAGACATGCAATTTCCGGCAGTTCCACGTTCCATTAGGGCCAACTGGCCCAAGTATCTAAAGGACACCAAGGAAATGACAAAACGCTACTTTGTGGGACATGGACAGTTAAAGTGAGTCAAATGGACTCATGATTAAAAGCAACTGCATTGTAATTCCAACGAAATGAGGAGAAATCCTAAACCTCACCCAGGAAGGACATCAAGGACTAACTAAACACCACGAATGGGCCATCCAGTCACTATGGGCTCCGGGCATCAGCAAGGACATGGAGTATTGGCATGTGAACACTGCAGAACTAACAGACCGACACAACAACACCCCTGCCAGACAGATCTTGGAAGAGACTAGCTGCAGATTTATGCCAAAGGACAGCATTATCTTATTGTCATGGACAGTTTTTCCAGGTATACAGAAATAATGTACTTGAAAGACATAACATGTTGCAGCGTTATCGAGAAACTGGAAGTGAACTTTTGCTCATTTCCGTATTCCAGAACAACTAGTGACGGACGACGGACCCCATCTCACTGCAGCAGAATTTAAGTCGTTCTGTAGGAAATATGACTTTGATCTTATTACTAGCAGCCCACATTACTCCCAAGCACACGGAGAGGCTGAGAGAGCTGTACAGGCAGCCAAGAAAATCCTGCAGGAGGAAGATCCATTCCTTGCTCTTCTGAGTTAGATTGTAGCGGCATGGTTACCCCGCTCCTGCCTGAGGGGTTTAAAACAGCCCAGGCAGAGGGCTGGGGCAAAGGGAAAAGCTACTGGGCTGATTGGGGAAGTAGCCACATCTGGGCCACGCCCCAATCAGACCCCAGCTGGCCTATATAAGAGGCTGGGAGCCAGAAGCCCAAATAGTCTCTCTCTGCCTTCAGAGGGAGAAGGGCCTGGCTGCAGCGAGCTAGACACAGGGTACCTGAGTGGAGCAGGGCTGGGGAAAGGCTGAGGAGCTGGGGAGCTCCAACCTGGAAAGCCCCAGGCTGCGGCCTAGTATTGGGCCAACGGTACTGGGGGTTGCAGAGGGCAGCCCAGAGGTAGGCCAAGGCAGCAGGTCCAAACCCCCCTTGCCAGTGATGAGTGGCCTATACTGCAGTCTGCCCCAGGGAGCGGGGGCTAGTTGGTGACTGGCAGTGGCCTTATTCTGAGGTGAGGTAGGGATAGTGGGTGGGGGTTCCCTGGGGAGGGGAGACCCTAATACTGAGGGGTGTACTGCCAGGGGGCAGCACCCCAGATAAAGGGGCACCGGGGTCCGGGAGGGACACAGGGGCCAGAGGACAGGTGGATCACTGGCCTGCAGGGGGCGCTCCAGGATGCTGGAAGAGCTAATTCCCGGAGATGACCAGCAGGAGGCGCCGCAGTGGTGAGTCCGCAGCCTGTTTACACAGATCAACACCAGTAGCAGCTCCTGCAGACAGGCCCACACAACTCCTGATGGGAAGACAACTCAGAGCAACAGGTTCCTTTCCAAAGTTGGAACAATCCCCAGCATGGCCAGACGTGAAGAGAGCAGCCCAACTGGATCACAAAGTTAAAGAGCTTATGGACAGCTTTACAGCAGACATCACTCAGAACTGCCGGGTCTAGCACCTGGAGACCACATTCTTGGCAAACTTGATGGAGGAAAAAACATTGACAACTCCAGCTCTTGTAAAGAAAAAGAATTAATCGCCCAGATCACGTGTGATCCAGACTGACTGGGGAGAGTTCAACAGAAACCATCAACATCTACAGTTTGTTCCTTTTGAAAGAGCCATTAATGGAGCAAACTCTACAGATAACAGGTGCAGAACAAGAAGACTCAGAAATTCCAAACCTACTACAGCCAGTCGGCGAAACTGACAGGCAGATGACCAAGTTGTTACACGTTCAGGTCATGTAATGAAAAAACCAGTACGCTACCCGGACACTTAACAGAGTGATACAGCACTTCACACACAGCACCCCTGTCAATCCTGGGCATGGTAGGAATGCAGAACTGAAATGGGGAGAGGTACTGTCCCTTACTGTTCAGCTGTAATGCACCTTTCTCAAGCTGCCCTCAGGCCGACAGGGCAGCGCGTTAGAGGGGCTCATGACTAGCACAGCAGACGTGTTGTGCTAAGAGGGAAGCTCTGGAGCCAGTCCATAGGTGGCACAGAAGCGTGGCAGTAATGGAGGAGGAGGCTTGTAGGGAATTGTGGAGAGAATTGGGGCTGGCCCCAGAACCTCATGGGACCAGGCCAAGGGCTGCTGCTGCCCCCACCTCTTGGTTCAGCTGCATTTCAAGCCAGGCCCCATGAGAGCCCTGGGCGGACCCCCAACCACCTGGCCCCATCCCAGTTCTCAGCCTCTGGCCCCATGGTGCATTTTGACTCCATCCTGGCCCCCCAGGGCAATTCCAGTTCCTGGCCTCCCAGCACTGTCCCCCTTGCTGCCGGTGAGCCAGGGTCTGCCCCCTTTTGCCTAGGCCCTGCCCTCCAGCTGCTGCTTTGCTCTGGAGAGATTACATTGGTGCAGCTTTCCAGCGGCCCCCCCCCCCCACACTGGACAGGTCCTGCTCTTGGGAGTGCCAGGCCCCGGCTCTGCCATCTCAGGGGGAGGGTTTGGGACTCCCGGTCCCAGTGCTGGGATAGTCGCACTGAGCACCCCCATCCTGTGAGGTGGCCCCACAGGGACCAAGCTGGGAACCCGCCCCACTTACCTTCTGTACTTCACCCATGGTCTGGGAGACTCTACATCCTCCGTAGGGTGCAGGGCGCTGGGAGCTCCTCTGGGCTCGGGGCCAGGTCCCGGCCCGCGGCTGCGTCCTGACACCCGTCCCTTCGCCTGTGTGGGCAAGAGGATTAAAGCGCCAGAATTAGCTGTAGTTCCTCCATTTACCCCCAGCATTAAATACCTCCCTAGGTAAATCCCCCAGCCAGCTGTCGCCAGCCTGCCAGCCCCTCCCACAGGCCCAGCCCTAAGCCCCAGGGGAAGCAAAGCCCCTTTCCCACCTTGCAGGGTCGTGGGGCTCAGAGCGCCCCTGGTGATAACACTGTCCCACTTGTGGGGAGGAGCCAGCCCAGACCCATGGCAGGTGTACTCCCCCCAGACCAGCTTCCAGGCCAGTCATCCAAGCCCATCTGCCCTGCCCTATGGGACAGAGGTGAGAGCAGCAGGGAGCAGGTGCACTGGGTACAGGGCTGGGGTGGCAGAGCCCTGGAAGGCAGTGGGGGCTGGAAGATGGAGGAGGCTGTGTCATGCTGCAAGCAGGAGCCCAGTATCAGGGGAAGAGCTGGGGGCGGGGCGGGGGCAGCAGAGAGTTCAGGGGAGGCTGGAGAGGGACAGCTCCAAGCAGCAGCCCTGGGGGCAGGCGAGGGGAAATGCCTGGCTCCTGTAGCAGCAAAGGGAGGGTGGTGATGTTACCCGGCGCTGAGAAACTGGTGGGGCAGAACTTTTCCCAACATGGGTAACTGGGAAAAGCCAGCTCCAGCCCCAGCCTCCCTACAAACCCACCCCGCTCGGTGTCCTGCCACCGCTGTGGCTCCTGGGCCCAAGTGCAGGCCGGGGGCCCAGCAGCAGAAGGAGATGGATCAGTGGGAGCCCTGCCCCCTCTGGTACATCCCCAGCATTGACCCATTACCAGTCACCTGCTCCCTGGGGCTGGAGCTGCAGCTCATTCTGATGTGGGTGTTCCCTCTTCCCCTACAGGGCGCAGCCCCCCAGTTCTCCCAGGACTTCCAAGCCCTGCTGGCTGCATCGATCCCAAAGGGGTCAAGTCTGTTCCAGGATGTGAACTCATCCAGACTCATCACTGGGTCACCAGGGGGCCCCGCCTCGGAGCAGCACCGCCGCAGGGCTTTCCTTGCAAAAAGTAGGGGCACCAGACCTGGCCCAGTAAAGGGGCACTGCCAGACTGCAGGAGGGGGGGCATAGAGCAGCCTGCCAATCCAGGATGGAGCCATAGGGTCAGAAGTGCTGTCTGGGACTAGGGACGGCCCTCGATGTTTTGCTGGCCAGGGCAGAAAAAGTTTCGGTGCTCGTCCTGGGGGCCAGATAAAACCAGCCAGGCAGCACAGTGGTATAGCCGTCCCTGGCGGTCACCCGCCCCTAGACCAGGTCTCAGGAGGGGCAGATACGGCATCCATCTCAGGCCTGCCGACAGCAGTTCCGGGCCCCAGGGCAGAACAGGCAATGGGCCCCAACCCGTGCGGTCGGGGTGGTGCTGCGCCTGCGCTGCTGGGCGTGCTTTTCCAACATGGCCAGGGCTTCCACATGCCCACCCGGCTGCCTTCGCCCCCGCCGGTACCACCCCACCAGCACCTACGAGCCCTGCGGCCCGCCCGGGTGATTACCCCCCCACCCCCCGTCTCAGTGCATTCAGGGAGCCTGCAACTTTACTGGACTGACGTGGGCTGAGCTGGTGCCAGGTCCAGCCGGGGCAGGAACGACCTTCCAGGACAGGCTCACCCAGTGCCACAATTCCCTCTCCCTGCTGTTCCTGAGTGCGGGTTGTCGTGGCTGCCCGGGCTCTTGGCTCCGCAGGGCCCTTGGGAGGAACCCCCTTCAGTGCGACAGCCCTTCTCAGGGGTCCCCTCTCTCTCGGGGGTTAAGCCGTAGGCTCCTCTACCTCCCAGGCCTGCACCTCTCCGAGTCTCCACCATGCCTGGCTCTGCTGTGGGCCCCGCAGGGAGTCCCCTTGCTCTGGGCCCCTGAGGCCTCCACACCCAGAGGGAATAATGCCCTCCCCCCCCCCCCGATCTCTAGCCTGAAGTGACTCTCAGCCAGCAGAAAACAGGAGGTTTTTGAATGGCTGAACCCAGCCCAGGCTGTTCTCAGAGCCCCTGGGCTGGGCCAGTCTCAGCACCATCCATCTTGGCCTGTCCCGCACCCCAGGTGGCTCGGGCTGCCTTTTGTCCCCAGTCCAGCAGCCCCCTCCTTCCAGCTGATCATCCTAGGTCACCTTCCCCACCAGCCTTGAACTGGCTGATGTCCAAGCTGGGCTGAGCCTCCCGGTCACCTGTTGCTAGGGCACCCAATCTCCAGGCCATCGTCCGGGGTCCTGGCTGGTAAGCGAGGTCACACCTGGTCCTCTGCAACAACAAACCCCATCCCCCACTGTGTTACACACGCAGAACAGGGAAACTGAGGCACACACTGTGTTCACGCAGACCATTGAAAAAATCCCCCACTTGTCATAGTGGGCGGGGCCACACCACTGGCGATCCAGACGGTGCACACAGTGCAGGGGATGGGGACGAGGGCCCAGCCCTGCTGCTCGGGCACCAGGGGAGCGACGGGGACGAGGGCCCAGCCCTGCTGCCCAGGTGTTGGGGAAGCGACGGGAAGGGGACGAGGGCCCAGCCCTGCTATCGGGCATCGGGGGAGTGATGGGACGAGGGCCCAGCCCTGCTACCGGGTGTTGGGGGAGCGACGGGGACGAGGGCCTGGCCTTGCTGCCCGGGCGTCGGGGGACCGATGCGGTACTGGCTGTGAGGGGCTCGGGCGCTGCAGGGAGGGGCTCTGACAGTGACGTACCTTAGAGGGATCTGGTCTCTCCAGGTTCTCATCACTTGAATAGCCCCCGTGCCCATCAGCAGGCTGTTCCCGTGAGCTCCGCGGCTTTGTCCTGCGTTTGTGGTTCTCCTTTCCTTGAGTGCAGGGGCCTCGGCCAGGGCCAGCTGCCACCTCTGAGCGCCCAGGCCCCGTCTGCTGGGGGAGCGGCGGTGCTGGGGTTCAGAGCCGGGCCCTGGGGCACGCGGCCCTAGGGTGGGGGGCTGGCCTCGCTGGGGGGGGGTGTTTCCTGTAGGGAGGGAGACTCCTCTGAAAACCCCAGTTCTAGCTGCGGTTTGGTTTCCATAGTGACACTTCCTGCAGTAGCGAAAAGAGGTAGTGAGCAGCCCTGTGAGCCTGGCAGTGAGTGTGCTGTGCTGCTCCTCCCGCTGGGGCCGCCCGCAGCCTGCTGGCCTGCGCGGGGCCTGCCCGCCGAGCCCCATGCTCCCTGCCCGCACAGCCCCCCGCTGAGGCATGCCTGGGAAAGCAAAGCCCCTGGGCGTTCAAACCGGCCACATGGTGAGTGCCCGGCCTGCTGGGGGCGCGTGGGCGGGAGCGGAGTTCGGCGGCTCTGGAGGTGCGACCGAGCCACACCCAGTCCTTGTGCTTTTTGGCTCGCCCAGCCGGCAAGGCTCCCCCAGTGACACGGGGGCTGCACCCCCTCTACCGGCGGATCTGCTCCTGGCTGGAGGCTGCTGGTGCTGGGTTACTGGGAGGCTCCAGCCCCAGGGTTCTGCCCCCACCCTTGGCTGCTCTGCTCCAGAGGGAGGGACCCTGCCCCATGGGGAGATGCTGTCTCAGGCTCCCCTACCCCCAGGATGGCTCGGTGCAGCCCATCCTCCCTCCCCCACATCGCTCTGCATTGAGCGATGGGCCCAGAGACAGTCAGGTCCTCGGCCTGAGGCTGCTGAGACCTGTGGGGTCTGTGCCAGGTGAAGGGGGCCTTCCAGAGACACCAGAAGCTCAGAGCCGCCCGCTCTGGGCGGGCGCAGCATTGTCAGTCTGAGACAGGTGCCGACCAGCCTGTTGCACAGTTAGGCATGCTGGGTAGGGACTAGGCCAGGAGGGCTGGGGCCATGCCCTGGCAACGCCGGGTTGTGCGGAACCCAGGTCTGAAATTGTGGAGAGGTGGGAGGAGTCTGTGGGTTGGGATTGAGGGGCATTAGCACAGCTGGGGGGCATGGACTAATAGGGGTGGGGTGGCTGGATTGGGATCACAGTGCACCAGCAGAGTCTGCCCGGAGTAGGGGTAGCGGGCAGTGGCAGAGCTGGGTGGGCAGCCCGGGGCGGGGGTAGCAGGCGGGCAGTGGCAGAGCTGGGT